CAAGTCCTTTTTAGAAGATCCATCCTTTGATTTGGGACAATATACTGAGCTATAGAGTCATGAGTTTGTCCTATTTTACATATATAACACTTCTGTGTGTGTTTCTACCTCTGAAGCATTCACAGTGAGTCCCAGAGCGATGTATCCTGTGGAGTCTCCATCTGAGTTTCGATGGACAGTGTCAGTGGCCGTTGGGTGAGCTGTTGTTTTAGCGACACAGACGACAAACCAGACATTTGTTTCCACTAGGATCACAGTTATCTGGGGTCTCCACACACAGTTTAGTGACTCCACAACCAGTCCGACTGATGTTCACCTGGTAGAAAACACACATATGAGCACAGCCATTTATACACCAAGTCACAAGCTTAAAACATCTGCACCCTCTGTACTTTTAATGGACTAAACTTTGTTCTCCAGCTGGATTATGACAATATTTCGTGGTAAAACTACTATTAGTACATTTTTGAGAATATATCCAATGCATCGATTTGCCTTAAAAGCTTACATTATCTGCAAGTTGACAGTGAGAGGTCATTAAAATGAGTCTGCAGTTTGTTTGTTATGACGTGCATAAATGTATTTTGCTAGTAGTAGTAATAGTTTGATTAACTATATAGCTGGTGAGGATTTTTACTCTAAAAGACACTTTTGTTAACAACGTATCACTTTGTCAATTCTAAAACTCATTATAGCTGGTAAACGTCCTTAAACAAACGTCACATTGATGTGTTTGAGGAACAAAGGTCAAGATGGTATTTACACAGAGAGGATTAAAGGGAAGAAACCCCACCTCTGTATTATTGGCAAATGACAAATGAGACGTTCCTTGGACACCTGGTGCCACATAGACCATCAGTGCCGCCACCAACAGGATCAGTCCTCGTTCCATCCCTAACAGGAGGGGACAGAAAATGAACAAAAAGTACACTTAACAGATTAAATAAGGTTTGATTTTAATAACTTATAGAGATATTAAAACTGTTCTGTCACACCCAATAACATCATACAACTGTAACATGTCTGACGTTAGAATTTGTGTGAATAATTAATTTAAGCACATTCATAACATAAGTGTTGTATTATACAAAAACAGAATATATATATATATATATATATATATTCATATATTAGCAGTTACACTATGAATGAATGTGTGAATTAAGTTTTTACTACTCTTTAGCAAACATAAACACCTTAAAGTTAAAGCAATCTTTCCACTTTTGATCATAAAGAAAACACAATATGAAACCAAAATATGAAACCACAATATTTGTATGGTTTTGTGGAGCTATTTAATGGAACAATAACTCTTAAATCATCATATTTTGTATCGTACAAAATACAGAAAAATATTCTTCTGTCTTCTGTCTACAAATCATCTAGTTAGTATCACTTGTGATTACCTTTAATATATTTTATAAGCTACTGAAAATAAATGATAAAAGAACAAGTAACAGTGATCATTCAGGCAATACAAAAGACAAACAATAAACGATAAACAATAAAAATGTGAGTCTTACCTGAGTAGTTAGAGTCAAATGCTGAGCAGTGGGAAATGTTCTTAGTTCAGTTGTTTCTGCTCCTCTGTGTGAAAATGGACAGTGGGGGTTGATTTAAATCATCAGTGATGATGCTCAGCGGTGATGATGTGGGGGGCGGGGGGAAGAGCATCCTGCAGGGGGCGGAGCCTTGTGAGAATTCACCTGACAGCCTACCTGCCAGAAGGCATGCACTTCAGAAAGCTGTTTTTCTGGAAAAGTCTCATGATTGTTGAGTGGGAAATCAATTTCTGAGATTTGTTGACAGCACAAAGATACAAAGATAATAACTTATTTAAAAGGTTATTATAGTTCAAAGTTTGGATTATATCACTAAGGTATATATATAGTACTGTATATAGTGGAAGTGGGCTTATTGTTTATCACCTGTATTTTTTACACCGCTGATTGTGAGAAAGGTTAAGATGTAGTGAGCAAAGATGGGTGATTTATTATTCTAAATCTACATCAACAACAACAACAAACAACAAACAACAACACAGTTCTTCAAATGTTCATCAAAAAACTTCGCAAACACACTTTTGGCTTTGATAGAACATAAAACATATCAATGGTTTTGCATAAGAATTCAAATTATTATTATTATTATTATTATTATTATTATTATGGACTGATAATTTATTGCCTGTGATTTAATAATCTGGATAATTTATAATATTACCATTATCCGCCTATAACTCATCTGCCCAGTTAATTTTTGTGAATCCGTAAATAAAATATGATCCAAACAGGCAAAAAATAAACCAAAAATACAATTATATTGAGGTTAAAGTCCAGATTCCAATTCCCATAAAGAAACTACAAATGCAGTTGTGTGAGTAGAGTTAAAAATTGATTTAAACATGTAGAAGTAGAGAAATCTGAATTATACTTAACTAAGACTAAACTGGTGGATTTTAGTTTCAGGTTTAGCCTCTTGGAACTTCTTCTAGCAACATGTTTATAATTAGAATCTTTTGTAAATCACACTGTGATTGGTCTTTTTCTGACTACATCATCCAGTATCACATGCCAGTGACTCAATGTCACCAAATGTTCATCCTGCCAACTGAAAGCCAAGGGCCATTGTGATCAAACATTCCTATCAGGTTATTCATTTAGTTTTCCCGAACGGTAAAGTTTTTGTTTCTGGGAGTCTTTGTTTACAATTATGAAATATTAACAGTAGAGTAAATAACGAAAGAGAACACCACAAACAGTACAGTACACTTAGCAATTAAATTGGTCAGATAAGACATCAGGGAGAAACCTCCATTCAAAATTAGCACTGAGGTGGTCTAACTACAGGCACCCTGAATAATTACTCTGATTACTCTGAAGGTAAAACAAAACATCTTTCTTTGCTTCTCCTGAAACTCAATCTGAAGGTGAAACTCAACTTGTCTGCAACTGCTCTGAGACAGAGCTCTAGTAAAATATGTATGCTACTGAGCCAGATGTTGGAAATGTTGAGTTTTTATTAATTTATTCAAACCAATGTTCAATTATATTTTCTTTAAATTCAAAACCTTCTTCGGCACAAACTAGGGATTTTCGGCAGGCGGAAAATTGGAACCTCTTTCTTTTGTTTGACTTGTTGTTGGCATATGCAAATATTTAATTTTAATGCTTCAATTGGTATAGAGGTTTGCAATAATGTAGCATAAAAACAAATGCAACACACCACAACCTTTGTAGCCTATGTAATACAGAGGACTCGACCTCCTCCGAGGTAGCTGCTCTGGCTGCAGTTCCTCCGTTACCAACAGCGGTGCAGTGGTGCCTCTTTTTAAGTAGCCCATCCAGCAAAAGACAAGGTATTATAAACAGTGACGTGTAAGCCTGCTTTTTACAAAAGGTTTGAAAGGGGAATTTCCAGCAGCCGTTTGATGACAGGCTATTGACGTCAACCTGGCTGGCTCTTGAGTATTTATTGAGTAAATATCTTTCTTTATTATTAGAATTGTTGAATAAATTTGGAGGGCAGTGATTTAAAAAGCTTTTAATATCTTAATAATAATCACTGTCCTCTTAAGTGCCTCAGATTTTCTAAACTAGATCCTCAAACAGTTTTTTTCACACCTGAGCCGCCCTCCATGCATCTTAACGTGTTACTTTCTTTAAAATTGACTAAATCTTGAATATTGATTGTGTATGTATGTAAATATAGGGATTTTACTTTATTTAGGTTTTAAATTTCCCTTCCTTCTAATGACATTGTTCACATTATGTTTACCTTCAAGTTCAGCTCTTTCCTAAATCCCTGGAATTATCTTAATGTTGTAATATTTATGAACAACATGCACCCTTCATAGTGAAGGACATGTAGTTTAAAACAGGTTTAATGGTGATCCCTCATCAAACACACTGCAGGGCCGTGCAGGTCTGGTGTCTCCTCACTCTGATTGGATCTCCGAGTGTGTTTGCTCTGTAAGTCTGGACTGTTTGACCAAAATACACACCTTAAATTGGCCGTAGCGGGTGCAGTGTGTGTCTGCGTTTTGTGAAGAGAGACAAAACAAATACTGAGAAAAAAAGAGAGTGCAAAGTAACAATATTACAACACGAGAGGCAATTCTTGAAGAAAATTAGTGTGAATGAATCATTTTATGAAAACTCTTTGACCTTGATGCATTTGTGGAGTTAAATGTGTAATGGGACTGAATGTGGGTCATAATAAAGAGCTCATTCATAGTTACATTTGTTGCATAACAACAAAAAGCGATTTGGATGAATTATTGTTATTTCCTGTGAATATTAGATCAGAGATTAGATATTATTAGGAACTTTTAATACAATTCTCTGTATGTATTATGTATTGTTTATTTTTCAACAATCATACATACTCAATAGGCTTCTTTTTTTTTGACAAATTACCCTTCTTTTAGCTCTTCTGCTTGTTTTAACTTCCGACTCTTCTAATGCAGCACGAGGCTGTTTATCAGAGACTGAAAGCTCTGGGAATATAGTTTGTGCTCAGATCTTCAAAGTTTAGATCTTAAATAGCAACTTTAAAAGTAAATTTGTAAAGGTTTCTTACACTATGTAAAATCAAGAAGGCCTTGCAACCCCCTTGGGAATAACTGCTGCGGAGCCTGCATCCTATTTTGTATCAAATTGTTCTCCAACTGTGTTCATCAAACATAACACAGCAAATGTTGAGGATCACTCATTTTCACTCTGTCACCCAAAAAAAGAGGCAAAAATAGTTGAGTTTGACTCCTTATGAAACACTTTATTTGGAACAGGCTTCTATATGAGACCGGCCTTTAATTTCTTCAGGAAAGATGGGAAATAATATCAAAATATGAAAATAACTGTTGTATGATTAATTTGATCAGTTGACACTTTAGTGCTCATAGTTTCTGTAGAATGAACTGAATGATTGAACTGTGAATAATCTAACTAACGATGTGTATCATTGACAACAGTTTATATTATTTTTGTAGGCAATCGAAGCAGCTCAAGGTTTTATACACCCAAAACATTTCTATACAACCCAGACCATGCCTCTAATTGAGACCTACTTTTATTTGAATTTATACAGTAATTATGCATTTTGAGTATTATTAGTACATTGAGTATTCCTTACTCCATTCACTCATGATGTAGATAGTATGTCCTATCTCATGGTAAAGAGAGAAGGACCGAGATGAAAAGGTTCACCGCAACATAGCCACAACTACACTAATAGAAATGACGCAGACAATAGAGGCACTGTTCTTTGTTCTGCATTGTCGTCATACATTATTTCACAATCACCTGTACTACTCTTCCTCATTCTGTGAGAGAACAACTGTCGTCACCTGTGACTTCTGAACATGGGAGATGAATTTGCAGGAATTTGGCGGAAACTATTTTAGAAGCCACACATTTCTCAGTAAGACATTTCACAAGCTGAATTATCACTGTTTATTTTGCCATGTAAGTTTGAAATGTTTTTTTTTTTTATGTGTTGTTTCTCATTGTTGGTAGGCGGGGGAACTTCAGCCTCCAATCTCGAATTTCTGTTCACTAGGACTGTTTTTGTTAGAGTTGAGAGTTGAACTGATTGACGCAGGTTTTTAAAAGTTTAGTTGTTGTGTTTTGGGAAGATGAGTGTTTGCACACACCTTCCACACCCATTTATATCAACATAGGTGTTTACAGTCAGTCTCTCCTCAGGAATGTATGTATGGGTGTGTGTGAGGTCTTGTTACTTTTTTACTTGAAAGTCTTATGATTTATAAAAATGCATTTAGTCCTGCATTGAAAATGTTACTTAAGTGAAAGTATGTAAGTATAATCAGGAAAAAGTACACAAAGTATTAAAAGTACTCAATGAACCATAAAAGTCCCCTGTGACTGTTATGTTATATGATATTATTACATAAGTATTACTGATAATGTAAAAGCAGGATTTTGCTGTTGTGGTTGGTTGAGGTGGAACTAATTTTAAACTATTTTGTAGGACTGCAGCTATATTATTTTCATTATGGATTAATCTGCTGATTATTTTCTTGAGTAATTTATTGTTTTTTTTTTGTAAAATAATCTGAAAATGGAGAGAAATGTTGTTTCAATAACACAGAGCCCAAACTGACACCTTCACAATGCTTGTTTTGTCCAACCAACAGTTCAAACCTCAAAATCATTACAAATAAGATTTAAATATATAAAGATATACATTTAAATTATTAAAAATAAATAAAATAGGTAAATCCTCACATTGCAGAAGCTGGAACCATTAAATGTTTTTGCATAAAAAATTATAAACAATTATAAAAATAGTTGCCAATTTTAATTGACTGATGAATCGACTATTTGCACTACTGTTGGGTGGTTATAAAAAAAACATAATATTTCTTAAACTTTTCATATGATTTTATGCAGCAACATTAATTTGTTCAAAGCTGTGAAAATAATTGTAGTAAAATGTGAAAAAAAATTATGAGAAATGTACTTTTTGGCAGTATAAACGTACAACAGTAAATACTTGAGTAAATATGCTTCATTACATTCCACCACAGGTTAAAGGTCATTCTGTGTGTGCTTATGTTAAAATTATTGCTTCCTCTAATCTTTATTTAAATACATCTTTCCAAAAATATCTGCCAATGATTTACCAGTGGCGGAACAAGTGTTCAGATCCTGTTCTGTAACAAGCAGCAATCCCTCAAACTAATACTACTGCAGTAAAGTCCAAAGTGCGCTTCAAATTGTACTTAAAGTCCAGAAGTTTCATAAACAAAACTGTTCAAATGTGAAAGCACAGTGAGCTTTATATTATTATATATTATTATGTTGTGTCATTATTATTACTGATGCATTAATGTCTAGGTAGCATTTTACTACTGTAGACAGATTAAACTACACTGTTCGGTAGTTTAATCTGTAACAATACATCATATTGTATGTTGAAGTTGATATTAAATTGATATTTGTAGAGTAAAGTAGAGTTTATTTGTCCCTGAGTTTGTAAACAAAGTGACTGAATGTATCTTTTTTTAGGACATAACCTATTTTATTTGTATTTTTATCATTAATGTTTATTAACTATTGCTTCTTCCAATAAAATATAATTGAAAATGTTGTTAAGTATAAAGTATGGTAACACCCAAGTAAACATTGTAGCTACAGTAGTGGAGTAAATGTATGTACAGTATAGAGAAAAAATAACAAACACAAGTTAAAGGTGTCAAATGAAAGGACTTAAAATTAGTCATTATATAAAAATATTAAAGCTATAAGTTGCTGCAAACGTGAATTTACTCGACCAGAAGTTCTTGTCAGATGAACTCAAATGCGTCTGGTTCAGCTCTCTGTCGCTCCCCAGTGGACATCAGCTGTTAATAATTTCATGGATGAATAGTAGAAACGTATAGGAAAAAAAGTGTTAAGAGCCAAAACATTTTAATATTCCAATAGTTTATTTGTTCAATAAGAAACCAGAACCGTAGAAAAATATTTAGCCATATAAAATAACATACAGTAAACATATAAAACACAAGACATCAGACAAAGTGAACCATTGCATTCAGAAGTGGTTAAAGTGCACTGAGTGAAAACTGTCTGTAAATTTAGGAAAACAAAAATCTGATTATTTAATTACAGAAATGGTCATTATTATGATTATTATTCAGCCTATAAGAAAGGCACAATATGTACTTTCCCACACTAGGGAGGGAAAATGTCCTGTAGTTTTACCCTGAACCACAAAATTAAAAAAATAACAGACACCACGCAAAACTACGTGTTTCAACAGAACATGTTATGGTTTTAAATATACATTTAAAGGTGTAATGTCGTTATTATGGAGGAAATCTGCTTTACAGACGCTTTGGCAAAAAAACATTTTTTACAAAACAACTACAGCTTCAGTTTTTAGTTCAAACGTGGAAGGCAGATGCTAAAACTCCTACTGTACGTACAAGACTGGTAGTGGTTGTATCCCCCCCAAAAAAAACAACTGCTGCAGAAGTTGATAAATGCAGCTCATCAACAGCTTTTAATCTCAGTTTTCTTTCTATTCTCTTCAGTAAAACAAAAAAAAGGTTTGATAAACAGGCTTTCGGAGCAGTAACACTATTATTATCACTCCTGATTAAAGGATAGGTAGCATTAGTATACATTAACATTGACGTGCCCATTAACATGTCGATTACAGCAACTGAAACGGTTGCTGTAATCATTCCTCCTGTTCATACTGGCTGTGAAGAGATTCCTTTGTAGTGCAGTCCTATTTGTCTATTTTGAAGTGTACTGTAACTTCTTTACATCTTAATTTAATTTTAACAAATGTTTCTCATCATTTGCACACAAAGTTCTCCTTTTCTATTTGCAGTGAACTCCAGAGAAGTACAAATAAAGGCTTGTTCATACTTTGAATTTGACGTGTTTGCTTGATGAGCATCATCAGTTTTTTCCCCTCTTTTTAATGGTAAATGGTAAATGCGACCTGTACTTGTATAGCGCCTTTCTAGGCTCCGACCACTCAAAGCGCTTTTACATGGCTTTTACATGCTTTTTATTCACCCTTTCACCACACATTCAGCACCAGCGATGGACCGAAGTCCATCGAACAGAAACTAATCATTCATACACATTCACCAACCGATGCTATGCATCAGGAGCCAATTTGGGTTCAGTATCATTGCTCAAGGATATTTTAATCATTTCATACACCCACTCACGACAACCGAATGCTATGGCATTCAAAGGAGCAATTTTGCGGGTTCAGTATCTTGCTTCAGTATCTTGCTCAAGGATACTTCGACACGTGGCAGGAGGAGCCGGGGATCGAACCAACAACAATCTTCAACTTTACATGTTGTTTTAAGTAAATCTTACAAACCTAAGTCTTGATAGCCAGTACTGATTACTGAATCAGATCCAATGACCTTTTTCACAGCGAACATTTTGACTTAGCAGAAAAAGCACAGGTGATACCGATAACAGTAACAATGGCACAATTCCAGCAATGATTGCAGTTCAGTACATCAATAATAATGTTATTAGTTACACCTATAATGTGAAAACAAGGCAAATATCTTCTGTGAACTTCATGTTTAGTTAAAAAGGTCCAGTGTGTAACATTCAGGAGGAATATGATGTTAACAGGTAGTTTTTCATTAGTGTCTAATCACCCGAATATAGGACAGATAAGAGGAATATAGGAATATATATAGATGCAGCAGGTCGCCTTCCATGGAGGCCGCCGTGTTGAACTGCCAGGATTTCTACAGTAGCCCAGAAGGGACAAACCAAACACTGGATCTGCAAGTATGCCACTAAATGCCAATGAATCCTACTCAACTCCTCAGAAACGTGACATTATGTAAGCATAATATGACCGTACCTTTCACCATCAAGGGGTTTTTATCTTAAGTTTCCTTTTGCTGCAACTCAGCAAGGATACATTGCCTGGGAGAAATGCAAAAATTTGGGACTAAAAAGATTTCTAAGATACCCAAATAGTTTGACTGGTTGAACTTTAAGAATGAGGACTTTAGGATTTTTTGGATGGATGTTAGCAGGATGAACTCCTTCAATGTACATATGGCACATGTGTGTTGTGTTTCAGTCCAGCTGAAATCTCATCTAAATTTAGTTTTTTTAATGTAGTGTAACAGTCTTGTATTATTAAAAGGAAGAAAAAAGGTCTCCAAGAAATATCAGAAATGCTCCTTTTTTGTTGTTGATTGACAGCCGCTGAACTTAAAATAAACCTAACGTTTAATGTGATAACTGTGTATTCATGGAACATCTTTAAAATTAAATATAAAGTCCGTCCTCCATCTGCGCGTTGGATCGTGGTCGAGATCCCTGGTGGCTGTGTCTACTGTCACTTCCTCTCCTCTCTCTGTCCCTCCTCTGACTCTCTCCATCCTCTTTCCTCTTCACCTTCTCCTTCTCCTTCTCCTTCTCCTTCTCCTCCTCAGCCCCTGCTCTCTCAAACTGCCTCCTCGCGCTCTCAATCCTGCTCCCTCGTTTCTCCTCCCCTGTCTCCCTCTGGTCATCTCTCCTGTGGCGACTCCTTTTTGAGTCCTCCCTGCGGCTCCCCGACTCTCTCTCCGAATGCTCCCCCCTCCTCCATGCCGTTTCGTGACTCCGATGCGACTCTCTCCTCGCGTCGCCTTTCCCATGATCTTCCCTGGTCGTCCCTCTCTCCGCATCCCTCCTGGATTCTCTTCCTTCCTTGCTTTCTCTCTTCTCTTCTCTAGTTTTTGAAATCTCAGCTCTCCAGTCCCTCACTCCTCTCTCCTCCTCTGTCCTCCTCCAGCTCTCCATCCTGTCACTGTGTCTGCTGCTGCTGCCACCTCCCTTGTCTGTTTCTTTCGTCTCGTGTTTGCTCCCGCTTTCACTCCTGTGATGGTCTTTGATCCTGCTGCCATGCCTCCTCGTACTCCCACTTTCCGCCTCTTTCTCTCTGGTCGTCGCTCTTTCATCCTCTCTGCTGCTCCTGCTCCTTTCACTTTCCCTCTCCGGCCTCACCCTCTCAGAATACGCTTTCCCACTCCGGTCCTCTCGTTTTGAATCGCCTGATCTGATCTTAATTTCCTCCTGTTCTTTAACAGTCTTGTTCTTCTCCTTTTCCTTCTCATCTGTCTTTTTATTTGTTCTACTGTCTTCCTTTGCCTTGTCTCGCTGGCTCTCGTGTTTTTCTTTTCTAGCTGTAATTCGGTTCTCAGTTTCTTTGTCCTTCTTTCCTTTCTGAGATTGTTCTTTTAAAACGTCCTCTTTCTCTGCTTTGACAGTCTCATTTTTCTGCTCTTTTTCCTCATCAGAAATCTTCTCTAATTTTGACTCAAACTTGCTTCCTCCCTCACCTTTTCCCTTCTTACTTTCCTTCTTTCCCTCTTTCTTAGCATCCTTTTCTCCCATTTCCTCCTCCTTTCCCGTTTCCTCTTTCTTCTCCTCGGGCTCCACCTTTTCCTTCACGCTCTTCTCCTCCTTTTTATCCTTCTTACTTTTCAGATTTTCTTTCTCCTTCTCCGTCTCTGTACTCTTCTTCTGCTCCTCCTCCACCTTCTTGTCCAGTTTCTCCTCCAGGAGGTCCAGCTCCTGATCCAGCTCAGCCATCTTCTTTGGGTCGGACTCAAAATCGTCTTCGATTTCCACCTCCACCTCCTCGATCTCCTCGTACTCCTCCACCTCGATGCCGTCCATCGTCTTCTGCAGCTGCGTCTTCACCTTGTTCAGCTCCAGGAGGCCGTCTTGAAGCTCTTTACACACGTCCCTGATCTTGGTGGCAAACTTAGTTTTGGCGCCCTTGCGGAGCTCGTGGGAGTCTTTGGCGAGGAAGAAGACATCCAGAGCCAAGAAGAGGGCCGACATGACCCCCGTGGTGACGCTGATGGCCTGGGCAGCTTTGGCGGCGCCGCCTGCAGCGCCTAAAACCTGCACAGTGCTGATGAGCTTGTCGGTGTTGATCATCAAGGCTTTTCCAGCACGGCCGCCCTCCTTCATCACATGCTTGAGGTTGTGGTTCATAGCCTTTTTGGCAGCACTCTCTGAGTATTTCTCAAAGTCCCACTCCTGCAGGGTGTCCATACCGTCCTACAAGACAGAAAAAAGGAAGGAAAGTAAGGAAACTAGTGTTTTCCCCTCTATTTAAAACTATTATTTCCTGGAATTATATCACTTTGCATCAAACAAACATCAAAAAACAAAAAAAAAACACCTGCATATTGTAATACTCTGCTGCTTTTAGTAATAAACAGCATTAAAGCAATATGTGACACATTTCTTCGTGTTTTGTAATAAATTATTACATATTGCGGGAAATATAATAATATGGTGCATTATGTGATAACAAACCAAAATGGAGGTCTTCATCTGTACTTTACTCACGTTATGTCTTAAACAATTAATCAAAATTCAACTTCCCAAATATTACATTAGACTGACCTGCGGTGCCCCCCTAATCTGCTGACATTTATTCTTACTGCACTGAAGTCGGTCAATGAATGAATACAATATATCTAAAATAACATCGGCTGATATATCGGTTTGGCATGTTTATGGGTCAAGCTCTAGTTGTCCTCAATCTGGAAACAAACTTATTTTACTAAATACACTTTTTATACTTTATCATTTTATACACTGAACATTACTCTCATTGTTCCATAGATATTTAGAAAATTAAAAGCAATAACATGTCTTCAGGAATCTCCAGTTCTGGTGTAGTTACAGTATTTTGTGCATTATGTCTCCACTCTACCTGTTTAACTTCAGCCACATTTACTCACCTGCACAAACTCCAAACACTCTCTGATGTCTTTGATCTCCTCCTGGTAGCCCTGGATCATCTTCTCCAGCTTCTTCCGGTCCATGTTGGAGTGAACTGTGTCTGTAATGTTGGCCGTTGCTGAGGTGATGCTGCCTGCTGTCGCCACACCGATCCCCACCGCTGTGACGATAATAGATGCTCCAAAAGTAAAAGGTGCCAGAATGAGGCCTGTGATTGTCGCGATGCTGCCTGCGACGCTGGCCACCCCTCCACCTACAGCAGCTTGCACCGTTTTCTTGTGGAACATATCTGCGGCGTCGGCCAGGGCCAAGAGCTCCAGGATGCGTTGTTGTAAGGACGCCCCCCGCTTGTTGAAGAGACGCACAAACAGACGGGCTGCCATGTAGACACGATCAGCTGCCTGCTCCATTGCCCTGGAGAGATAGATGGAAGGGCTTAAACTCATGATATGGTGCATTTGTTACGTTTAAAAAGTCTAAGAAATATCATGATATATATATACAGTACTTCACAACTAAATATATACATTATTCTAATGATAAACATAATTATATTAAAACCACCTGGACAAGTTTTTGTCCAAATGGACATTTGTCAAGCTCCCTATAGCTACTGTGGTTAGCAGTAGTGACTGTTTACAGGTCTGACAGTTCTCCATAAAACAAAAGACTACTACTACTTTTAGTTTTTAGGTGTGTAAAGTCTCCTGACAGCCTGCAATTAGATACAAAAAAATGTTACGGTAGGCAAGATATAATAAGATAATATCCTAAAACTTCTAACTAAAATCAATGTCTTTTAAGGTCTTTTTGAGGAGAGACCTGCAGACACTCTGCACAAGGAAATAGAAATCAAACTATAACCCTAAGCCTAAATTTTTATTTTATTTTATTCATTTTAATGAAAAGTTAGAACATGCTTACATTTCCTCCTCATCCTCCTGGAAATTAGATGTCTCATTCCACTCAGCCCAACCTGACAGCAGTTAGTTAATATATGGAGCAAATAAATAAGACAGTGGTTTGTTTTTAGTTCTTAGTGGTGATTTCTTTTTGTTTTTTTAGGACTTCAATTGCGTGCATGAACACTCGGCTGTGTTCACTGATAACTCTCCCATTGGAGCAGCACAACAAAGAAACACAAACAGTCGAAAGTAATTATAGGTGAAAAGACAATCATACCAACCTTTGACTGTGTTCCACCACTCCATCAACTCATCATTCTCCTAAAAACAGAAACGTTTGTCAAAGAAAAGCTTCATATATGTAACAAATGCAGAAACTATAAGGAGTACTATCACAGCTAATCTGTTTGGTTCAATTAGAAACAAACATGGTGCGTTCAGTTCATGCAATTGAGTTTGAAAAAAGAGGGTCTGCCTCCAAGCGGGAATCTGAGTGTAAAACGACCCCTGAAACACACCTCCTCAGATTCGAGAAGGTTGTCCTCAGTAGGGTAAGCTGCCATCTCCACAGGCTGCACCTCTACTGAGCTCTCCTGTGAAACAAAAGCACAATAACACAACTTTATGGCAACAACATTCAGTCTGAAGGGGTTAATATCTCTGTATGCCCGTTAGCACACAGACACTGAGTCTGTTATGTTCACTGTCACACACACACACTAACATGCCTTTATGTCCCTATGCTAACTCGTGACCACTTCACAGGCTGTAGCTGTAGAGTGGTCAATATACAAGTAAATGACCAATAACATCAAGAATATGCACATACTATAATAAACTGCAAATAACATACTGGTTTACACAGGCTGAGGCTCTGTTTTCGTTAATGTGTCTAATATAAATATAAATGTGTTGATCTTAAGTTGCATGCATTTTGATATTTACTTCCATTTTCATGTATCAACCTCATTAAAATGTTTTTTATTTCTGTATATTTACTCAATAATATCCTCATACTAACCGGTGCTGGGCTCAGCTCTTGCAGTTCAACAACCTCATCAAGAACAGGCATCTTATCTGAACTCTATGGAGGAAAAAACGATTAGTGTCATCAACTCAGTACTAAGCTCATCTGAGAACTTCAACACACATTAATTATAAAAACCAGTAAACAAGTAAAGGATGAATGAATTAAAAATAGGCATATTTGTACAGATATAACGTGTATCTATAAAAATGACTAATAAACTCTTAGACTGATCCTCAAGACTTGTCCTAATAATGTAATTGTAAGCTTTATTTTAATTTTAAGCTTTTATATAAAGAAATAAATAATTGAAAAAAATGTGGAAGATGTTCTGCTTGTTACTGAACTGTAACTGTAACTGTAACTGTAACTGAAGAACAGCTAGAGGAGATCAGCACATACCTGTGAGCTTAGATTGAGTTTGGGTAATTTAGGAAGAGTTTTCTTGACTCGGAAGGACACAACCTGAGAAACCAAACAAGAAAAGAAGGATTTATCAATGAGCTAAAACTGGAAATGCAAGAGAAAAATAATTCCACAGCTAAGCTCCTGTCACTCTTGTGTTACAGTGTTATTACTATCAAATATATAATTTAATACTATATGTCTATTACCTGCATGGTCAATCAGTCAATCAATCATACTTTATTTGTATGACACTTTTAATATAATAAATGTCTTTGTAATCAATAAAACACTCGAAAAACATGGACTGAGGAAAAGTAATATAATTTGCAGTGAGAATACCGGAGACAGGATTAGAAAAAGATGAAAATTAAAAAAATAAGAAAAGGATATCTTATGTAATAAAACACATTGATGTATAAACAGACCAGATAAATAAATAAATAAATACAATAGGCAGCAACCTAAACCGCCACGTGGTAAAGCTGTTGAACTACACTTTGGTTCTTGATCCTGCTACTTTCTGTTGTACCTCTGGATGTTTCTTCAAAGTGTACAACAACAACTCACTCGTCTGTTTTTCTTGATGGTTCTCCTGCGTCTCAGCCCGCCTCCTGCTGGCGCCTCCATATCCTCACTTTCCTGCAAATGAACAAAGAACGTCAGCAGAGATAATTAGCGGCTGCACAGACGCCTCATCCAGGAGTTTATAAGGATCATCTAACCTGCTCACAGTGCTAACTCTCTGCATCCATACTTATTATTAACATTATAACTACAAACTGCTGAATATCATGCAAATCAAATCAGATATTTAGAGTATTCAGTTGCTTCAGTGACAATCTCAAATGTACAGATTGGAATTAATTCACATCAAAAACACTTTTTTCTAGGTTTTCTAGCTTACTGCCACTATGACTACTGTTACTACTACTTTGATCTATTGCTAACTACTACTGATTGTACATTTCAAACAGCTGTTGATAATATCTCTACCTGATGTTCAATTGTTTTGGGCGTCCTCCTGAAAATTCCACTGAACCCTCCTTTTTTCTCCTATTAAAACAATAAAAACATGCAGCATTAAATGGGGAAAAGTGTGCAGATACGGTCAAACAGAATAATACACTCTACAAAACTCACCTTTGTGGCGCTTGTAGCTTCACAGAGATTGTCTGTACTGTTCGACAATTCACCGAGATCGTCCTTTAAAATAAAATCAAACATGAATTGAGTTATGACAGGTTTGCGTGAGGTTGTTGGGGAGCATGAAATGAAGCTCAACACACAGGGTCAAAAACCCACTCAGATGTTTAAAAGTCACATAAAACTGTAAATAATAATACTGAAAATCTTTTTTAAATGTTATGTGCTGGAGGAGAACTTGCACACTGAGGTAAAAGAGCTTGCCTTGGCTTGAATATTACAAGAAAATAACTGGTCTTAAGGTGTGCAGGGCTTTCGAGTTCAGGCGGCAGCTCTTTACATCCTGTTAGATCCACCTGTAGGCTACTTGCAGTTTTTAGACCCCATTCGGATAATACATAAACTTTATTGCTATTATTATCAACCACACAAGATAAGTTTGTTCATGAGATTAACAGCTTACCATCTAGCATGAAACACTGCTATCACACAGAAAATTAGGATTTGCTACAAAACTAAATGTGGAGTCGAAACTAAGAGTCAATCAACTCTTTGATCAGGCGTTTCCCATCATGCTCTGTCTTACAGTCGATCTCTGGATGTTACTGTTGTGCCCACTTGTGCACGACGTCAGAGCAAGTCGGCATCAAGTCGGCACACACATCTAATGTGCGACGATCGCACAAGCCTAGTTGATCTCGAACGAGCCTATTTAGATGTCATGGAAGTACACTGGCAGGGTTGCCTACAGTATTAACTCTCAACACGTTCAAGAAGCTCTCACCTCTGCTTCTATGAGGCTGTCGCAGCTGGTGGACAGTTCCTTTGAGTCGCTGAGAGGATCCTGGAAAACAAAAAGAAACATTTTGTACACAGTTTGGTTGGTTCTTGGTTATTTGTGAAGAATTCTAACTTTAAGCTCTAGCTTTCAAACTAAACAGATGAGTTTAGTTTTAGTTTGGTCACCTTAGTAGCGATCGAGCGCGGAGCCGGTTTGGGAGACTTTTTGAAGATCCCTGCCAGTCCTCCGCTCTTCTCCTGAAACATTTACATTACATTAACGGTCAATAATCAGCAGCATAACAAAGAAAAACAGAGATTGTGATCGTCGGACAACATTCGTACCTTTGATGTTGTTGCTTCCAACAGATTTTCACAACTGGCAGATAACTTCTTCTCCTCTCCTGTGTCCTGAACAGAAAATAAAACATTAAAAAGAGAAAAAGAGTAACACACATACAAAGTATAAAGTGTATGTGAAAGAGTCTTTACTGTACCTCATCTGTTGTAGCCCCCTCTGCTGCTTTGTGAGTCTTCTTAAACATGCCACTGAAAATACTTTTCTCCTGAAAACAGACATTAAACACAGACACAGTTTACTTAAGTCGCAGTAAAAAAAGCACTGGCAGGTTTAAATTTTTATGTAAAGGATGAATCAAATCAACAAACTTGAACCAAACAAGCTTAAAATATTCTAAAATTAGTTTTTCAAATGTAATTTATGAGTGCATTAAATAAACATTTATTAATATTTTACAGTACCTTGGAGTTGCTGTTTTCAAACAGACTGTCATTACTTGCTGTCAGTTCGTTCTGGTCGTCTTTGTCCTGAAATTAAAGAGATTAAAGGTATATAAAGCCACATTTGCACTACACGGTACGGCTCTACTCAACTGGACTCTACTCGCTTTTGGTTCCTCTACACACACACACACCACACAACACACGACACACACACACACACACACTCACCTCTGCAGCCGCCTCATCTTCAGACGCTTTGGGAGTTTTCTTTTTAAGTCCACTGAACAGCCCGCCTTTCTCCTGACGAGTGAAACACAAAAGTTTTAAAAAAGATAGAAAGTCATTAACATGGTTTCTAAAACCCAAGGTCTTATTATCATTTATTCTCATGCACTATGCCTCCCATCGGTATTCTGTATTCCTGTTTCATCTATTCTGATCCCTTATTCGTCTTTTTATTCTATACTATCCACGTTTTTCTCAACTTTTGAGATTTGTCCATTATACTCACCCTCCTCACACCCATGGCTATATATTCAACCACGTAGCGCCCTCGCCACACCACCAGTTGTCCGTGCCAACTTCCATCTTCCTTTTTGCTCCTCTTTTCTGGACTATTTCATTGCGCGGAGCCCTTTGCCTTATGCCTCCCCTACATGAAAGGAGCAGCTGAAGCAGACACGGAAAGGGGGCCCGAGCCCACCACAGATAGTCACCTATTTATTGCTTCAGGCAGGTAATGAATCACAGTGGAGCCTTAAATTTT